TTTATTAGCCATGAATTAATAAATTGGTAAATTAAAATAGTAATAAAGAGGAAACTGTTAAAGTAAAATGAGGAAATAATCCTAAAACACACTGAGGGTACTGTGAGATAAAGGAGTAGACATGATGGAAATATTCATCACACTTTACACTTTAAGCAGTGAGTGTTGTGGGACTTAGGAGTACAGAGTAGAACATATTTTTCAATCTTTCCATCATGTAAACGAATTATTCCCTAAAAGATTTTATTCATGGGTGAATTTGGTAGAGATCTAATGTGTTACAATATTGATCTACAGCTAAAGGGATAGTTTTAGTGACCACTCTATAAGAGCAGACAAATCTGTGTTAGTTGGACAATGTTAAAGGGAGAGCTAATACCAAGCCAAATATAGTATCCCAATCTAAAGTATTGTTTTCGCCATTGTAGCATAGTTATTACCATAGGAGAACTGTTAAGGTGGAAATAACATTTGTTTGTCCAAGATGTAGAGTTTTAAAGGACACTGGGCAAAGAGCGATTGCAAATTTAATTTTGGAAAAAGCAATATAATTGGGAGTAATACTTGCGGGGCCTTGGATCACTCATTGCAATGATGCATATTTTTGACAACCCATATCGTTTAGAGAGAAGGGGTCACTCAACCCACCCAGCAGTTGTTTTAAATCTTACTTGTAGCTTCACAGGGAGCGCACGGCACCAAATTATGAGTTTAAAAGACAAGCGCCACCACCTCCTGATGGTCATCCATTTAATCAGGGATGACCTGAAATTTAGAGATGTTATTTAAAGTAGAAACATATCCGCCATAAGTGAAAATTCCTAAATTGAACTACAAACCATGGATGAAATAACTACTGTTTTTAAAATCCTTGATAGAGGAGGGAGTAACTGTTACATGCTCGGACACCCAAGGTTCCACACACTGTTAAAGGGGTTAGCATAGTTCTTTAAACAGACTAGAATTGAAGATAAATTAGTGAAATGAGTTATTGATATTCCACCGGTTTTCACACCATTTAAGGAACTTTATCACTGCATTAGAACGGACCACCCAAAGGTACTGAAGTAGGAACCATAAGTGATGAAATTCTCCAATTGTTGTAACTGACCAAAATCTTCTCCCAGAAATGACTGTCTGAAATGCCGTATCCCAGAGTAGATGTTTGATGGTATCATGGAACTAAACCCTTGTATGCAGTCTTGCTACAGGATTAGACTGGGACCTGTGCACTTGTACAGCCAGTGATGTTTTATATGCAGTACTAATGACAGTGGGGCAGTTAATCAACATGGCGAAACGCCCCAAAACCAGTAGGGCTAAGAGACCAGTCAAAGGAGGGAGTTTAGGCTCGACAGTGTACAAGGATAGCATAGGGGTGCCCAGGGGAGTGCTAGATGTTGGAGTTGCATTCCATGTACCCGCACCCTAACGTACCGATTGAAGACAGTGTGTAAATGATGTTAAATGATATGGATGATAAATGATGAGATTGTTCAAAGAATGTCCAAATCATGTGATATTTCAAATGATGAAATATATTTCAAATGATGAAATCATTAGAATAAAGAACCAGCTACAAAGTGGTATTACTTTGCACTATTCAAAAAAGGTTTCTAACTTTTATGTTTTATACTGTTATTAGTGATGCGATTTTTAAATAGTATGTTTTTATACTTTGTAAAACAAGTGCCTTAACACTGAATGTGGTATGGGAACGGTTTCTGTGAAAGGAGGGAGTAAGAAATGTTCTAATACCACAAGTTGCTGCTATTTTAAAAAGTGATATTGAATGTTAAAACTAAAAGTTATGCACAAGGGAAAACTTTTACACCAGAAGACCAACCAATGTATTGTTTGTATTTTTGATGACGGTTATTTGAACCATTCCATTTTGATAGTATGTTTTTGATATGAGTTATGTACTATGCAAAGTTCAGATGAAGAACTCATTGATTTCAGTATTGTGTTCACACCTTAAAAGGTGTGAAAGGAGGGATTGTTAGAAATTAAAATTCAATGTTTTATGGCATGATTTAGTCTAAAACATACCGTCAGTTTAAAAGCAGTCAGATGAAGAACTTATTACTTTTAGTATTGTGTTCACACCTTAAATGGTGTGAAAGGAGGGATTGTTAGAAATTAAAATCAATGTTAAACAGCATAATTCAGTCTAAAACATATCGTCAGTTTAAAGCTGTTTTATTGTGGAAAAGCCCGGAAGTTCTCAGGAAATCAATGTCAAGCTTTTATTCTGAAAAATCCTTTATCCGGTTAGCTTGTGACTAATGTTGCGTTTTCTGAATGTAAAGTGAAAATGACTTGGAGTGTTACACACAAACGTACGGACTTTAACACTACATCGATAGACGTTAAGATATTATTACTGCTGAATATTAAATGAAGGTCTAGTCGATCGTAGTGTTTACAGATACGTGAGAAGCTATGACGTCAGAGGGAATTTCCGTAAAATAAGAACTGTGCCGGAGCGGAACCACTAGGACTTCTAAACTAAGTATTACAGCTGTTTATAAGGTATTAAATAGAAAGTCATGACAGAGATAATGAGGAGAAAATGCTTAAGGAAGTAGGCAGAGAATATCAATGTCGAAATCATCTGTGCTCTCGCGATATCGAACCGGCAAATGAGTAGGGGGCCACCCACTATTTGCACAGCGGGGGACAACGAGACGTGGATAAAAAGGCAGGACGAAAGATAACGCACGCTCTTCCCTTCGCTGCAGCCTCCCTCAAGACAACACCGGCTTTGTCTCTCCATTCACCATGCTTGTTCTTTAACCACGTTACTTAATTAAACTACCCATTTGAACCTTTTCAGAGACTCCATTAGTCTCGTTATTTTAAGTTTCTTTCCTGGGAGCGAGAAGATCACAAATTATCAACATAACCAACAATAATCTCTCATTATGTACAATAACATGGTGGATTTTGTGAAAAACTGGCATCTCACTTTGGACTTTAACACACACAACTAAACTTGATCGATACATATTTCCATGGTGTTTGGCCCATCTAGCTTTCAAAACCTTGGTGTCAATTGGTATTTGAAGAGTCTCAGCTATCTCACAGCCCCATTCTATTACATGTAAAGATAACATTTTACTTGGACCGAAAATTACTCGGTTAGGGTCAAATGTCTGCCAACTGTAAGCTATGTGACTTTGGTGTTTCTTGGCCAATGTTTTAGTTATATTTTTGAAGCTTTTTAATTGTTTTTTAAAGAAGTTGTGCTTTGCTTCATAGCGCATGCACCAGCTATGCAAAATTGGACCAATTTTACGAATACATGTAGGGTAATGCACCATAAAATGATGCTTTGGTAGCAGCCTCTTGTTTGGAAACACGTGCTTGAACAATCTGTGATGTTCTGCGATCAAGTTTTTCAGAAAAACAGTAATTCCCTTTGTTAACTTCGGAGAAAATACAATGTTTACTATTTGAAGCAAGAGTAGTAGCAAATACCAGTGTTGATCATTTGGAGAAATTAAGTCTCCAAAGATAAGCGGTAGATTGCGAAGTAAACACCAGGATTGGATGGCATTTAACCCCAAGTCATTTGAGCCCTCTGTCAACTTTACTGCAGGAGGTTTGTTGTTTTGCTCCATGTAACCATAGTTAAAGCTCTTAATTCTTCTCTCAACTTCCTTTGATGTGGTGCCATTGTCTATCAAGTGAAGTATTAGCAGTTTCATTTCATACTGTGCCACTCCCTCCAAGATATCATGCATGATATCGACAGAGAAATTTGTACATATACTGAAGTACTGCAAGGAATTTAGAGAGCAAGAACGTTTAACACCCATCACATATGGAAGAGTTGGATTTGTCTCCATTTGTCGGCAATGTTCTTCATGAAGTGTTTCAGTTCGCATAACTATCTTAGGTGAATCTTCATCAAAGACTGTCTGAAAGTCCTCTTTCTCAGCGAGACAAAAGCGGCAACAATATCTGGCATTGAATGATTCAACAAAACCAAACAAACAGTGGAGACCAAGGTTGTCACCTGTTACTTGGACAATAGTTCCATACACTGGATGATCAAACAAGTGAACCATAATTCCATCCCTCTCAAGTATTTGAATATCTTGCACAAGTGGATCAAGGATTTTAGAAAAGCCATACGTTTTTATGTCTTGGGCATGAAACAAAGCGACCAAATGAATATTAAGGAGAATTGAGTTGTATTTTGGAGAAATATTTCGCAACGTAAAATAGATTGCTCCCAATTTGTGTATTCCCCGTTTTGATCCTAGAGGATTTGCAGTTTCAAAATCGTCATAGAAAAGCTGAATCTGAAATGCATGTTTCTGTTTTGAAAAAAGAGCATGACTCTTAAAAAAATCTCCATCACAAAAATCATGAAGGACATTTTCTTTTGAAATGGTTTCAGTCTGCAGCATCTCCTTTATATTAGGGTGTTTGTAAATGAACTGTAATGTTTTCAAAATTGGGATGTAAACAAATGTATCAGTAACAACAACCTGTTCATAACTTCCAGTAGTCCGATTGCGCAGGGTATCAAATCTTGTACCAAGAACATATTCTACTGGGTCTACCCTTCCCCACTTCTCTGTAAAATATTGCCTTCTCTTACTTTCTGAATTTAATACACCAAAAGGATTTTCCATTTTTTCAAAACACTGATCGATTTTACACTCAATGTCACTTTTGTGAGGCTCCTGTAAAGATAGACACTTTTTTACAGACTCTTTTGCTTGATTATGGATATCATAAACAATCTCTTCCATGGAAATGACCAAAGAATTAATGGTGGTTTCACCTACACCTGCCACTTTAAGTTCAGCTACTGTTGCTGCGCAGCTGTCTACGAGACTCTTATCAAGAAGGACTGCGTCAGAAGGGGTAGTTATTGATGGCAAATCATCAAAATGACTTGATGCCAAATCTTCAGCTGTAGAGGGCCCTTCACCAGGATCAGAACAAGGTGTGTGTGTTTTATTGAGATGCTTTCTAAACCCGGAAAAAGTGCCATAAACTTGAGAACAACCAGCCTGACCGCATTTAAGGCGAAGTGTTTTACCTGAACAATGTCCGTGGATTAGCTTCAAGTGTTTTATCAGGGAATTAGAATTTGCCTGGGAGCTTTTGCAAATAAAACACAACATTTCAGTGTTAGCTCAATACAATATTAGAGCCCTCAAAACAATCTCAGTATCAACTCAATTCAGCATCCGAGCCCTCAACTCTGCAACCCTAGGATTCACCTTAGTGTTTTCCACATCGATTTCATAAATCGTGGTTTGCAAGAAGTTGTACACATTCACCAGATCCTGGTTGTAGGAGGTACCAAAGACGAAATGAGCTTTGAAAAGCTCATCAATACAGGCAAGACAGTCTGGTGACTTACATGGTATTGCGTGCTTGTCAATCACAATGAAATACTTGTGAATCACACTCCTCTGGGTCCCCACAGCAAGCAGATAGGGTTGACGGCTTTCCATGATGCTGTCCAGATGCCCCTGAATGCTGGTCCCAGTCTGTGACAGAAGAACTTAGTTAGCCTTATTCAAATAATAAACGATTCACAAACTGTTTAAGAAGATGCATTTAAAATTACACAAATACCTTATCTTACTTTGATTTATGAACTTTAAAAAGATTCTCAGGATTATGAATGTGGACTTAACAGTAAACTTTCTTTTAATTTCATTGAACTGTTACCTCACCTTGAGAAACTTCACAAGATGCTCACTGGCTTGTCTGGCTGAGAGCTTTCCTGGTCTCTTGCGGCCCTGAGTTGACGGTGGCAGAAGGTGCACAAGGACCATAAGGGATGACATATCGTTGTCCCATCCTGAAAAAACAAGTACAAATGTGTAAACAGTCATTCCATTTGGCCTTAAAACTAATTATCCGTTCAATGAGAACAAATATTTTATTCCATTGTACCATTTTCCACTTCTGTTGTGGATCCAGCATTTTGAACCAGGTCTTGAAGGTCGCCTGTCTGTGTGAGGCCACGGCTTTGGTCAAGGACTTTCTTCTTGTATACAGTTGGCCACCTTTCCAGGAACTTTGCAGAGGTGACATCACCAAACATAAGATTAAAGTCCTGTTCAATCTGCAGACAAGATGGAATAAGACAGAAAAGTAGACATAAGGGTCATGAAAGATTTAACATCCCTAACCAGGCTTTTGTAGAACAGTAATAAGGCAGTCAAAGATCCACATACCATTCCTGGTATGTCTAGGAATCTTGGAAACGCAGTGAATATTTCAGAAGACTTGACTGGGTCATGAAGCATCTTTTGGCGATATGTGAAGGTCTGCTTCATCTTCTCCTTGACAATTGCTTCATCAGCTGAGTGCTTCATCAGTGCGATAGCCTCGCAACACAGGCTTTCAGTGGTTAGACAGTTTGCCTCTGTGAAAGGGCCTCTATCAGCTTTTGGACCACCTGTTACAGAGGTGGAATGTTTACTGAATACTGTGTTTGACTGCTCTTTACATACATATGACATTTTGTTTTAAGTTATGTCATCAGATGAAAGTAGATTAATTTGATTCAGAAACAGAATAAATACAAACTACAAAAGAGTACAAGATTTAGAAAAACAAGAGTATACATTAAATTATTCTCCAATCATGTGTTATAAATTAGATTTACTATCCACCTACAATACAAATCACATACCTGTTAGTGACTGACGCAGGGTCTTCTTTTGTCCCTCTGATGCTCCCTTTTGAACAAATTTCAGTCTCCATGCCAGGTACCCACTACCATCTTCTGCATTGTAATAATGCTCCTAAAGTAAAAGGGTGTAATTCAGTTTGATGAGCAGGTTAAATATAGTTTTTATCTCCTTAAAACTACACACTGAACTGGGCATTAATAACATTTAAGGAAAGCTTTAGGAGAGATGACAAATATGGTGGGCATACAGAAATGTTGATAGCTCTTTTATGGAGGTTATTCCCTATCTTTATTCAAGAGCGTGGTCTTTCAATTTGAGAGTATCATTTATTGATTTCAGTGCAAGTGTTTGAGCAGGAGCAGAGCAAATCTAAGTGCAAGCAGGCACTATTTGGAGTGCGAGGACAGGGTTTGAGGGAAAGAAATACAAAATGTGAACATGAAATCAAGAAATTATGCTCTCAAATTGAAAGACCACGCTCTTGAATAAAGATAGGGAATAACCTCCATACTATTTAGCTGAACTGGAAACATCACCCAACAGTGTAATAATTTCCACATTTACATTTTGAGGACGGAAAGCAAAAGTCCCAGAGAATTGTGTGACACCTAGTTTCTAATGTACTTACAAAGCCAAACTTGCTCCTAGGATCGGCCAGGTTTGGGAACAAGGAAGTGATGCCCTTTGCGTATTCCTCTTTAACACGCCTTGAAGGACTTGTCCTACAGACACAGACACACACAGCGTGAGACAAACACACAACTTCTGTAAAAGAAGGGTGTTGTACTTCACCATATCAAGTCAATAAAAGTGTCCTTGGTGTGTAGGTATGTTATGATTTTATGAAAACATACCCATGATCACTTGTCATTTGTGCAACCAATATCTTGACCATATCGCGTCTCCTGGAATCTGTTAGACTTTTAGTCCGAGCATACTCATTCATGATCCTCTCTCCACCAGGTTTGTTCTTCAGAATGTCTTCAATCATCTTAGTGGAAGTAATAATAAAAAGAACACACTGAAACGTTTAAAACAGTCATAAAATATCAAGTGTAAAAAAACACACTATAATCATTATTTCTTAACTTTCATTCATCTGTCATTTATCACTACATTTTCAAGTTTGTTAAAACTTTCAGACAAAGGCTGTAATGAAATCTGCAGAGCTTACTTTGGCTAAACGACTATCCTCTTCTCTCTTTGTAGAAGCAGGACTACGCTGCAGTATGATGGTGTCATCAGAGTCCACATCGCTGTAGCTTGTAACGGAGGCGCTTGCAGAGGAGCTTAACGAATCTGGAAATCATGTTAACAGAAATCTGGTGTGATTGACAATAACCATAACACAATTTAAGTGGAAATGTCTATTATTACTCAAAGAGTTGTTGTTAATTATACATGGAATGCAAAATATTCACATAAGATAAGCCCCACTACTGATTTAAGTTAAGGGAAAATAAATGATGATAAAATGATTGTAATAATGAGAAACAACAAATCAGCAGATACATTTGAGTGTTAGGGATAAATATGGGGCTCCAAGATGGAAAGAAACTCACCATTTGGATCTTGAGGCAAACAAATCTCCAGGACACCAAGGTCTTGTTTCTGTATTAGAAACTCAAACACCTCCTCGTCAACTTCAGTCTTTGTTACATCAAAGACTTTTAAGTCCAAGGTGGGAATGTCAAATTTCTTGGCAACTGTGAAGACAAAATAAGAGTTGTGATGAAATACAGTATTTTGTATATTTGTAAAGAAAAACCAGAAAACTGAAATCAAGTCCATCTTTACTTCAAAATGTTTACCCCAAAACTGACTGCACAGCAGCCTGAGTAATACAGCAATATCATTATTATTATTTATGCAATGAATAATGATGCATAGAAATGTTGAGGTCCCTAAAAATAGAGAACCAATTACTTTCTTTTAACCCTCCTGTTGTATTAGTTTTTCTGTAACAGCAATAATATTTCTGGGTAAATTTGACTCAGTGCATGTTTAATTATTCAAAAATGGTCAGAAACCCCAAAATCCAGATGTTTTATTTGTACATGGTTTGTACCTTTTATTACTATCAATGAAATCAATATTTAGTGCAATTGTGTTATTCACCTCTCACAAATCATGGTCCCATTAGAATAAGTCACTTGTTTTTCACAAAACATTTACATTCAAACACATTTTTCAAATGTATCTTTTCATTGGAAAAACCTTGATATAAAATACTTTAGTTTTGCATAACATAAAGAATTTTTTACATTTTCAAAAATGTTTTCCAATCGGTTGATGTTGATAGAGAGTCGAGACACCTCTTCTGTTCAGGGTCAAATTGACCTGTTCACTTAGAATCAAGCCAAATGAGTCATAAGGATTTGTATTGAAAGTGTTTTATTGTAACAGAGCGTGTGTGTGTGTGTGTATCGTAAAGGTTTTAACGGTACTACTACTTTTATCGATCCGGTCTTTTAATGGTACTTTTATCAGTTCTTTTGAAGAAAAAAACAAGGTAAACTAACTAAACAAATTGTGAACAAAACTAACATTGCTTTTTATTTAAATAAAATAAAATATTTCACATCAAAAGAAACAACAATGTTTGAACAAATCGTATTAAATGACAGATGACTGATGACAGAATTGTAAACAGAATAGCTGAAACTTTAACAAACTAAATAACCCGGTTACCTCTAATCATTAACCCATGTTTGTATAATTGAGTTGCTGCTAGCATACATAATACACCTGACGTGGAAACGTTACTCGTGGATGGGGCTACAGCGCTACTAGAAAGACCGTCGAAAACGGTGCATTTCTCCGTCTGAATGTGGTGCACTTTTGCTAAATGTTTAGACAAATTGCTCGTGTTACCGCCCTTACATGCTAAACTCTTATTGCACTTTTGGTAACGAGCATTGTCCACATCGAGACGGGTAAAGTTGAACTACACCTCGGAGCGCGTTCTCTCCGCCATCTCCTCCGCGTGTGTGTGTTGCTGCATGTAGCAGCTGCGTGTGTGTAAACTGCCCCGCCCCCTCGCAAACAGACGGGGGAGAGAGATCTCTCGTCTGGATTGGAAAGATCGAAAATACTAAAAATAATCATAAACGCATTTTGCAGTCTTTTTGCGTATTAGAAACGGAGTTGGCGACACTAAAACTGCAATATAATGTTTGTGTAGCAATAATACATAAGACATATTTTGTACATGTCTCCGGTATCGTTGAAGCTTAACGGTACCACGGTCTTTAATAATTCAGTCCCGGGGCCCGTTTAATACCGGGGCTCGGTACCCATCCCTATTGTGTGTGTGCACCATTAATTCTACCTTTTACGGCCTGTAACCACAAATCAAGTGTGCCACGCATAAACTGACATCCCAAGTATGTTCAATAGGTTAGTGTGAAATACGTTTAATTTTCACTCACCACAATCCAAAAAGGATTTGAAGGTCAGTTGACCCTCATAGCAAATGTACTTCTGATGATCCTTGTACTTCACCCTTACAGTTTGCATCCTTGATGACAAGAACAAATAGTTAATTTGAATAGCATTATTACAATCATTGAACAGCAAGTTAAACGTTTAAACAATTACAAGCTATACAGTAAAAAACAATACAATTCACATTTCCACTGTAACCACCAACATTAATAGTTGAATAGTATGCAAACAAATTGAATTAAGGATTCAATTCAATAGGTCAAAACAACTTCAAAGAAACTAGATTGCTAAAAGGTGTCTGCCTACACACACAGTGCTATGACCTAGCCTAGCTAAAAAATTACCGCGAAACAATTTCAGCTCTTATCAGAGTAAAACACACGTGGTGCTGCAACCTAGCACCAGCTGAAAACTGACCATGAAACAGTTTTTGCTCTTGTCAGAGTAAAACACACGTGGTGCTGTGACCTCATTTCAGCTAAAAGCTGACCTAGTGTTAGCAGCTAAAGCTTTTTAGTGCACCTGCTCTCTGTAAAATCCGATGGAAAGTGATGGTAGCCAACACTGCTCAGTTAATGATTAAATACAGTTATTTCACTGATCCACTATGCATTAATACTGTCCTTAAACCGCTAAAAGTGCTGTATACTGTAATGTTCACAGCTAAAAGCTAAAGCTAGCATCTGACAAAGCAATTTTAAAGTGAGCTTACTTTAAAATGGTAGCAAGCTGTATTGTTTCTCAATTGTTTTGCCTTGCACACATTTAGCTAAACAGTAATGATATGCAATTATTATCTACCATTACACGTGGGATTAATATTGTCCATAAACCGCTGAAAGTGCTGTACACTGTAATGTTAATCAGCTAAAAGCTAATGCTAGCATCTCACTAAACGAATTGTGCAGTAAGCCTCTTTTTTAATTGTAGCTAGCTGTGTTGTTTCTCAATATCTTTACCTTTTCTAACATTAATTTAACCAGTAAAATAAGCTTACCTGGCATGAATTTCTTCTGCTCTTCTTCCGTCTGCTTTCGAGTGTGCATCTGTGCGAGAGACTTGTAATGGCGGCAGAAGTTAAACTTAAGGAACATGAGTGGGCGTGGTCATGGTTTAACTCCAATAGAATTGACTCTGCATTTTTGATCGCACTCTAGAAGCTATGAGTAATAAATACACTCCAAAATGATTAAATATCACTATTTCAGAGCAAAATAGTAATTACTCTGGAAAAAATACTCACCAATATTTCCTGTGTGGGTGTCTCCTCTCTGCTGTGTGTACCTGTCTGTTCTTTCTCTCTGTCTCCTTCCTCTAATGCAGGCTTTAAGGGTTGCTTCTTTAAACATGAACGGGGGTAGAAGTGCACAGAAAAGAGCTTTAGTGTTAGAAGTCTTTAATCAGAAAAAATTAGATGTGATATTTCTGCAGGAAACGCACAGTGATAGCCTGAATGAGACGGACTGGGGGATGTGGTGGGGGGGTCAGTATGTACTCAGTCATGGCTCAAACCTTAGTGCTGGAGTAGCTGTTTTTTTCTCCCCCTCTTTAAATGTTAAGATTCTATCCAGCACAGAGATAGTGGCAGGTAGAGCCTTGATGGTGAAAGTGGAACTGTTAGAGTTCATTTTCACTTTTATTAATGTTTATGCACCCAATCAGGGCCCTGCACGTGTATCTGTGTTTCAGTTATTAAAAGACAAGCTAGACACTAGTGTACAGGGGGAGTGTGTTATACTGGGGGGGGACTGGAACGTTTGCACTAATGTCACTTTAGACAGAATAGGACGGGAGCCGCATCCTCAGTCGTCCCTTTTACTGTCACAGGTGATAAGAGAGGCTGATTTAGTGGATGTGTGGAGGATGAAACACCCCTCTGTTAAACAATACACCTGGATGAGAATGCTAGATGGGGGCGGGCTAGACAGCCAGGCTAGACAGATTTTACATGTCTGCTTCTTTTATTACTCGTGCAGTGAACTGTCACATCCAACCTGTTGGTTTTACAGATCATCAGCTAGTTTCTTTAGATTTGGTTTTATCCAACACAGAGAAACCTAGATCGTTCTGGCAGTTTAATGTAAAAATGTTACAAGATTTGATTTTCTGTGAGAATTTTAACTTTTTTTGGATCAACTGGAAATCAAAGAAAGAGTCTTTTCCCTCCCTGAGTCAGTGGTGGGAGGTAGGAAAGTCTCAGATTAGAGTGTTCTGCCAACAGTATACAGCCTACTCCACTGCCAACATTAGGAGAGCTATAGAGCAGTTAGAGAGGGAGATCAGAGAGTTAGAGAGTGTGTCTGCTCGAAATATAGAACAGTCCCTCCTAAAACAACAACAGCTTAACTGTTTTCTTCAGGAGAAAGCCAAGGGAGCTCTGATCAGGGCCCGTTTTACTTCCATGAGAGACATTGATGCACCAACCACCTTTTTTTTCAACCTGGAGAGGTCTGTGGGCCAAAGGAAGCAGATGGTGTGTCTGCGTCTCCCCGATGGACAGGTAACCTCTGAACCTGCCGAGATGAGGAGGCATGCAGTGTCCTTCTACACGGACCTGTTCAAAGCCGAAGGTTGTGACGTAGAAGCTGCTGATGAACTTCTTCAGGGTCTTCCACAGCTGGGTCCAGCCGAAAGTGACACCCTGGGCTCTGACATTACGCTGGAGGAATTGACCTCTGCGGTGACACAGATGGCCTCCGGCAAGGCTCCGGGCATAGACGGTTTACCTGCAGACTTTTTTAAACATTTTTGGAGTATTCTAGGACATGACTTGTTGGACGTATTGATGGAGTCCTTTGGGAAAGGGCTTCTTCCAGCTTCCTGTAGGCGTGCAGTGATTTCACTGTTGCCTAAGAAAGGAGATTTAACCCTGCTGAAGAATTGGAGACCTGTGGCTCTCTTATGTACGGACTATAAGATACTGTCAAAGGTTTTAGCTAACAGACTGAAGTGTTTTATCGAACTTCTTATTGGTAGTGATCAGACGTATTGCATCCCTGGCAGATCAATCGTGGACAATTTGTTTTTGATGAGAGACACTTTTGATGTTTGCAAACTGTATAATATAAATGTTGGTATTATTTCTATTGACCAGGAGAAGGCGTTTGATCGTGTGGATCACACTTTTCTGGCTGCCACATTGCAGGCTTTTGGTGTTGGGGAGCATTTTTTGTCCTGGGTGAAGTGTTTGTACAGTGATGCATGTTGTGTTGTGAAGGTGGGGGGAGGTCTGAGCAGACCTGTACCAGTTAAAAGGGGGATCAGGCAGGGCTGCCCTATCTCAGGCCTATTATACAGTATTGCCATCGAGCCCCTTTTGTGCAGACTTAGAAACAGGCTGACGGGCCTGTGTCTGCCAGAGTCAGCTCAGGCCCCCCCGGTGGTTGTATCAGCTTATGCTGATGATGTCAGTGTTTTTGTCCAGGGTCAGCGAGATATCCAGGAGCTACAGGACAGTTTAGCTTTGTATAGGAAGGCTGCTTCAGCCAAAGTTAATTGGGAGAAGAGTGAGGCAGTCTTGGTAGGTCAGTGGAGTGTAGAAAATAGGCCCAGCCTTCCTGGTAACCTCAGCTGGGGAAACAAGGGTTTAAAAGTCCTGGGAGTTTGGTTGGGGTCTGAGGACATGGTGGCACAGAACTGGGAGGGATTGCTGGGAAAGGTGCAAGCAAAATTAGCCAAATGGAGA